TTTTTTTCACTTTATTTGCAGGGCTGTGAAATTTACATCGAAATTATTTGGACGCGCATTGTCAAAACGCATCAAGGCAACTGTTTTATATGCAACCGAAACGGGCAAATCCGAACAGTATGCAAAACAGTTGTGCGAGCTATTGGGACATGCATTCAATGCACAGGTGAGTGAGTGACATCTGCCAAAGGTTTGAGAGTATATAGTATGTATGTAGTGAAGGGATAGGTAAGAACCGCCGCACGCTGGTCTGAAAAGCTAAAAAACCTGGCCATAAACAAATTAAAAATTGAGCTGGAAATTTTAAATTTGATAAGTAAGTTTCCTTGATGAGATAAGTAAAAGGTTTTGATATGATCAAAGTCCATCCATATTTTTAGATTACCATATTTTGGAAGCTATAAAAGCTAGAATACTCTAACTTAAGTGCAACTCACCACAGTCTGTCAATTCTTGCAACTACCTTGAAAGCTCTTTACTGCCTTTCGAAAGACTAATTGAAAGATCTGCTAACGAGGAGGTCCCTTCGCCTTTTTGCAAAACGTTTTTTTTTTAAATTAAATTAAAAAAATTATTTTCTTTCTAAATTAAAAAATCTAAAAATTAAAAGAAAATTAAATAAGAAAAAGAAAAAAATTAAACCAGAAAAGAAAAAACTAGTATGTACTTAAAAACTTAATGAAATTCTGTAACATTTTTTTATTTTTAATACAAAATCTACAAATTTGATTAAAAACGCCAATAAATGAAATAATATCCTTAAAATTAAAGTGAATAAAATACGTTTCTCAAAATTTAACGATATTAAAAAAATATAATAATATAATAATAAAATTTAAATTAAATTAAAAAAAGAAAAAATTATTGTAAAAAAATTCGCTGACCGAGCTATCGAGCTGGAATGTCTCGAAAGGAACACCAGTCTTTTGTTCATTCGAGCAAAATGATATACAAGTGATTTTTGTTTATTAAAACAGCTTTACACCACGAGTGGTAGATGAGGGAGCTTTTTTTAAACTTTTGTACTATCATAACTATCTAATAATTAAGCAGGGACCAGTAATGATTCCACTAGCAATTCTGAATTGATGGCGTTAGATGACAGTGGGGCCGCTGAAGCAACTGTAAAGCGGTAAAAGCGCTTCATGGGAAGTATTTGTGGCGTAAGGGACGTGTCAGCCCTGGCCTACTCATCTATCTCACATTTACCTGGTATATCGCTGTTGCTAGGAACCGGACTAACTATTGCGACTGTTTTAGAGGTAGTCTAGAATAATTCTAAAGATTCAATAGCAGTCTGAGGCTGATGCTTGTTGCAGGTTAAAAAGCTTGAAGCTCACTGCAGTCGAAAGTAAAAATTAGAGCGAAAGTTTCTGCGATTATACACCATTTATTTTCGTGTCTACTCCTCATTCGCTCTACGAAGGAAATTGTGCGGTAAATCTATTTTCCAAATCGACACTTGGTGCCGTGTAGATTGAAGACTTCTTTTTAGCACGTTACATGTCTAGTATTTTCAGAAGACATAATTTTTTACCTCTCCAGTTTGCCAGTGCCCTTTTTATGACTGTATGGCAACTTGCCTGTTGTTTACCAAAAAAAAAAAGTTCACATAATGAGATTAAACACAATTTCAAGGGCCTTTATTGGGGCCCCTTTGTACCATACCGAGTTTTTACCCAGTCGTGGATTTCTCTAGCAAAGAGCTTGCTCTTCGAGCACTGTCAGTCATTCGGGCTATATTTTATTACTAAAACCGCATCGTTTCTCCTATGAAATTTAAAATTTTCCTTAATAAGGCTGCAGCTGGATACCAACACTCACTATGGTTTATTTGGTCGCTAATAATCTCCGAAAAAATACCTGGTACGCCTAACATTACGTAACATCTACTTACATGCCCCTCATGCACATTGCATCTGTTAATTTTCCATGTTGTATACCTTTAGGCCCCACTGATTTTTATTCACAGAATTTTGGTGACGTAAGTTTAGCGTAGTCATTGTCGGAATTCCATTGCCAGTTGAATTCACGCCAACGATATATGTGTACGTGTCAGGCAGTACGGCTCTGTTAATTCACAGTTGTTGTATTAAAGACTTCTTCTCACTTTTATTCTCACATAAATACCTATCATCAGCTAACCCGCTTCATTTCAGACCTACTGCATGTCAGACTACGACATATCATCAATTGAGCACGAGGCTTTACTTATTGTGGTAGCATCAACATTCGGAAATGGTGATCCACCAGAGAATGGAGAGGTATGTAGCGCACAGGAGAGTTGACAACGGGAAATATGGTAATAAATATTTAGCTTCTTATATGGCTCTATAATCATTTCACGGTTTATGGTCATACCAAGCGGCGTAATGGAAAAGTTAAATGAGGAAAGCAAATATTAAAAAAAAAAACTTAATTCAAAACCGTATATGTGATGGCCGGAATGCACACGAAATAAAGGCCAATAAAGGAAAGAGCATATAAAAAGGCACAAGTAGCAAAACGCCTTAATTTGATTTGTTTGTAATAGACTCTGTCTATTTGCTATTTACTTTATCTATCTATCATTTGCTTCGCTTATCCGAAATTAACTTTCCTTGCGCTCTTGTGTACATACCTACATACATACGTACGTAAACCCAATGTACCACAGGGCGTATGCGTAACCAAGCAAGCGTGTCGTCTGTGGCTAATGAGGCTACAAAGTGGAACTTGGTAGCAATCGTTTTTCACGCTCAATCAAACATTACGATTCGCTCATTTCCTGATTTAATGAATGAGAATGTCATTGGACACTGCACCATTAAGCTGTGCGGGGGCGTGCGTGCGCCGCCGCATATGCCATTGTTTTGTATGTAATTTGTTTTTCTACTAATTCCATTATTTTCAAATTATTTCTTACTTCTTTCTATGTGTGCAGCTTTTCTCGCAAGAACTCTACGCAATGCGTGTGCAGGAGACCAGTGGTGATGGTCAGGATTCCAGGTAAGTGCTTGGGAAAATTGTGGGGTGGACAAATAATTTTTTTTTTTTTGTGAAAACGGTGAACAGCAGAACTGAAATTTAATATTTAATATCCTTTCTCCCCAGCAGAAGAAAACTAAATGTTTAGTTTCGGTTTTCCTGCTGCGAATGTTCGTTAATTTTTTTCAGATTCCATAATTTGTAGAACATTTTTAATATGCCACCTCGTTTGTGCTCTGAATTTTAAAATATGGTCATTAGTGGGGTGCATAATTTCATTTAGCATTGAATTCCAAGCCATGTTCTTCGTTAGTATTTTCGTTTCTCTTTTCCGTGCTGTTACGCACACACTCTTGTTGTGCCTTGTTTGCGTTTTTCAATATTTTCACGTCCCGCAAACTTTTAGCTCAGCCATGTTTTGTACGCACGAAAGCCAATACAATAAATGTCTGCTCAATAAAATTTGAAGAACTATGTACTACCTGCACACATACACACACATGCCTGCATACGCAATGTCGTACACAAGGAATTCCGCCGCATTAATTTTTGAACACCACAAATGGGAAAAATTCAATTTCGCTACACAAAGCATTCTGAAAAGGGCCAGCTGTGCTGCCAGCCACATAACACAAACCACAAAGATATGAGTTTCAATGCACGCGGTAAGTTCGTTCAAACATCTGTGGCGTGGGTGCGCCTAAAATTAAGCAAAATACGCAAGCCTGCTTAGTATAATTTATTATCGGTAGCCAAAAAAAAAAAAATATATAAATAATTCATGTAGGCTGAAAAATTGTTGTCCGAATTACAGACAAAATAATTTAAATTACATATCGTTTTGCTGGTTTTACGGAAATTTATTGGCAAGCGACAGTAAAATGACGCTGATTTATAGCATACTTTGCGGCGCTTTAAAATTTACTAAAAAATAAACACGATGCCAACACAAGACAAGAAAGCAGTGCACATCTTTTCTTCGCGCACTCGAGTAAATATTTTCACAGACACCACTTTTATGTATTGACATATTAATTTCACTAACGAGCGGCTGTGCTGCTTTCCATAACAATGCCTACTTTGCGGTGCTCAAGTATATGCTTGCTTACACAAATTTTATTCATGTTCGGGGACTTACATATGTATAGTATATGTACATAAGTACACTACACATGCACATTCTGTCACTATCAATATCCTATTTGTACATGAACATCTTTGTACGTATGTATATGGGTATTTTCTGAAAAGAGTCAACCAAAAGCACAAAAACATAAAAATCCACCGAGACTAAATTTAATGAAGCTAATCGATTGCTCCGTATTTCGTATGCTAAAATCTTATGCTAGTCGGTTCATTACATTGCAAAATATAAACGATTCGCTAACTATTCCTTAAATTATATTACTTGTAGGAAACATCCTTTCCGAAAAGCTTCCTAATGAAGGTAGAAATTAATGAAAATAAATGTATGCAATAGTTTAGAACACACCATGTTTTTTTTAAGGCCCATACTAAAACTTATGTAGTAAGTTGTGACCAACAGCCCTATTCCCTCATCGTGACATCGTATGACTATTGTCATAATTAGTGGGTATAAAACATTGCTCCGTCATTGTCGCGAGCTCAGTTGATCATAACAATAAAAATGACAGTTGTCATAATTAGAGCGCTTAAAATCAATTTGCGGCATAGTTTTAGGCGTAGCAGTAAAGACAATAGTCAGCCGTTAAGTTTTGTCATTGGCGTGGGAATAGGGCTCTAATGGTCAAATGTTTTACTTTTGAGGTAAGAAAAATAGTGGTAACGTTTACCTTAATTGCTAAAATTTTAATATGAAAGCTAGTTTTGGTTACCCTCTCTACTGTATACAAAATTTACCCGGAAAACGGAAGGTTGGCCTAATGCAAGAACATTAATATGTGGAAAGTCAGCAAAACATCCTAGGCGGCGTTCATATTTCTAGAATATAGATATTAGGTCGCTGACATAGAATATATGTTTCGGTTGTTTTTTAATAGTTTGCGAATTAGTATCAGTTTTGCAAAATTTTCGATTTATTAAATCGGAAACCGATATTTTCCAGGAAATTTTGAGAAAATTTATTTGTATTATAGAATATGGAAGCTTAAACTTAGGAAAAATAAGAGAAATATAAATAAGAGCTCTTGTGCTTACACCAACTTTATATAATTCAAATTTTTAAATTATAATTTTTGTATTATAGTAAAAACGTAACAGCAATAACAGCAATACGGTTTGATTTTAGTTTGGCATAAATTACGGATGGAGGAAATACCAATATAATATCTATAATATATTGAGCCCTAATCGCCAAATTAACGTAAGCGGAATTTTTTTCAAAATTTTCTTTTTGATGTAGAAATATTCCTAGAGCATCTTGATGCAATTCTGCATCAAAAAGAAATTGTGAAAAAAATGCCGCTTACGTTATTTTGGCGGTTAGGGCGCGATATTATGGCGGAACAATTTGATTTATCAGTAGTTTTTCAGCGAAAATTTTGCTTCAATTGTTTAAATGACTTATAAACAAATGCGAAAAAGTGCAATAGGCGTTCTTATCTACTCAACGAAGCTGTGTGAAGTGCATTATTGAATGATCTGCTATCCATTTTCTGGATCCTTGAAATATCATTGGAAAATTTTTGTGAGGGTTTGAATTCATACCGTTTAAAAATTAATTTTCCTAAGACGGGTGTAAGCTGGTCTAATAGATTTAATATTTTCAAAATATCTATGGCAAATAGTACACTTGTATGCATCCGTCTATACCAAAGCCTATATTTTAATAAAACACGCAAGCAATTTGTTGAATTCTTTAAGCAATGTTGCCATTTTTATTCACTGGAAAAAATGGAAACGTTCGAACGGGAACGTCTGAACGTTTTTACCCGTCTTTTGAAAACCACTGAGGAACGTCCGAACGTAAAATTTGAGGGGACCTACAAAAGAAAGTTGCTATTCATGGGAAATATATTTACTTGTGCTGAATGAATGATAATAATGGCTATTTATCACAAGAACAAACAAAAAATTCCTAATCCAAAGCCTACTACTATTTTTATGATGAAAAGAAGTTCCTCCGCCTGGATTGGCCGTAACACAGGAAATGCCCATATTTGTACGTTTATACTATAGCACAATTTCCGCGTTTCTTTGTGCCAAAAATAATTTCGTGTTATTTGTGTAAGACAAGCACCTAACATTTATAGTAGACATTGTTGAAATTTCCCATTGACACAGCTTTGACAACAAAAGCAACTTTGCAGCAAACAAATGTGTATTAACATAACACAAAAACCTAAGTGTGTATGTAAGTACATACATATGTACCAATTTGGGGAATAACACCCATAAATAATTATTTTCTGTGGATATGTATGAGTGTAGCTACATGCATATCAAGAGCATATATTCAATAGCCTCTAGCTACATTTTCCACAAAAACTAGTTGCTAATGCTAGAACCCATCTGCCCATTGCCAATGCAATAGTAAATTCTTTAGACAACTGGGCTACAAGATCACAGATGGCAGTTAAATCTTAGATGGATTTTTATATCAGATAGAGGGTATTGAATGTAATCTGTCGATGTGTAAAAAATTTGTGTATTATTTTTTCTGATAAATACTGAAACATGAGTGAGTTGGCGAATATTCACTTCATTGGTACCGAACTCTTGCCTTTTTTTCGCAAGCGATTTTAAAGGATATATACGACTTATAAGTTTCGCTTCGCCGACTTACATGGCTTGGTAAGATGAGTTGTGCTGCTCTCCCAGGTGTTCAATCGGTGGCCAAGGCCTCTTCAGAAGTGTATTGCCGACACAATGCATTTGGTGGTGCAGGAATGCTAGTAGTTTTTATCCGCCTTTCCTTTTGAAGGTCGAGCACTCGTCTATAAGTTTGGTTAGTCTCCTTATAGTTCGTTCGGTTGACGTGCGAGACCTTTCTCACTCAAACCGCAAGCTAGTTTTCATTAATCGCAGTAAAATTCATCGCACGACGACTGGTGGCTTGTTTTATTTTGGTGTGGTTTTCTTTTCTACCAAAAAATGTTTCTCCGTGGCCTCTACGCAAAAAAAACTTAGAACAGGGCAAGAAAAGGTAGAATTTTTTTTAGAAAAGAAACGCCATTAAAGACATGAACACGCACAGTACAAGACAAATAAGTTTGTTCATGAATCATGTTCTTGTCGATCTCAAAGAAAAAGTCTTTAATTTTCCAAATGTCCATAAAATATGTATTTACTGCTGATAATAATGCCGCGGGCTTATATTGAAATCCACAGCTGTCAAATTTGAAATAGGCATAAATGAGAAAATCATATGGTTCTTTCTTGAGCCCATGGAAAAGTTAAATACATACATACATACATATTTACGTGTGTATATGTAGAAATTCAAAAAGGAAAATCCATCACATACAGTTGTACATATTTACTTACTGACATTGGACGTGAGCACTCTATATGTATGTGTATGTGTGCACACTTTCAAGTATTTACTTGCTCAACCAAGTGCCGAATTTGCCACAATCACAATCATTTAAGCGTCAAATCTATGCCCAAATACCCTGTAGGGCAACACCGAACTAGTCAACCAAATTTCTAGTTCCGTACTAGATCTTTATCGCCAAAAACGAACCAGTCCGATAGTAACTAGATCCCTACCAGTTCAAAAGCAGCCAATTGTGGTACTTAAAAAAATAGTTTATTTTACTTTTTCAAACCACAAATTTGTATTAACATTTTAACCTCTTGAGACCTTCTGAACAATCGACTACAGCCAAAGGTATGTAAACGTGTTTTCTAATTGAAACACCGTAGGACATCGCTGTGTTAAATTCACCAGTTCGGCACTGGTGCATTTCTCCACAGGTATGTATGTATATATGCACCTAAAATGTATTTGAGTGTTAAATATACATATGTACATACTCGTCAACTTAAAAAGTTAGCGAAATTACATTTCGTGAGTGTGCAATGATTTAAGTCGGTTA